CTTTGCAGTATGTTAACAGCAATACTAATAATCTTATTCTTTTATCACAAAGGGCAAACATCTGTGTTTGTTTTCATGCTTGCAAAATGTTTGCAAAATATTTTTGACTCCTATAGAGGCAGACATATCTTGATCAATTGGCTACATGTGCCAGAGTGTGCATTTTAGCACTTAGTTAGGGAAAACAACAATAGTAAGCAAGCTGTTATGGCTAATGAACTCAAATTAATGTATTACGGTAACAGCTGACTCCATCTTCCTAAAATGGAATCAACTGAGTATGTATATAATATACAAAGGCAAAATAGCAATTTATAGTTGGTTTATAGAGCCAACAAATGCAAACTCAAGGAACAAGACAGATAAATGTCAATATTATTATAATGTGTGTTTCTCACATCCAGATCTTAGAATGTTACTTTTTTAGAAGTAATGTTATAGCCAGAGTTCCCAAGTCCAGCAAACCAGTTAACGTTCTTCCTTTTTCCAAAAGTAGCTTGAATAGTTGCTCTTGGAAAATTATTAGAATGCTGGAAGCTGCTGGATCATGGTGAGAAACACACTCGTTGCCTTAAGTCCCTTCCCAAATGGAGCAAAAAGCATTAGCAGAAAATAATGCATGAACTGTGTAATATTCCTCTACTGTGATTTAGTGAAGCCACACACATTTCAAAAGTAACTTTAAAATTATGCTTCAAATCGTTTCATTTAGTCGTTCAGTCGTGTCCGACTTTTCGTGACCCCATGGACCAGAGCACGCCAGGCCCTCCTAGCCTTCACTGCCTCCCGGAGTTGTGTCAAATTCATGTTGGTTGCTTCGATGACACTGTCCAACCATCTCATCCTCTGTCTTCCTCTTCTCCTCTTGCCTTCACACTTTCCCAACATTAAGGTCTTTTCCAAGGAATCTTCCCTTCTCATGAGATGGCCAAAGTATTGGAGCCTCAGCTTCAGGATCTGTCCTTCCAGTGAGCACTCAGGGTTGATTTCCTTTAGAATTGATAGGTTTGTTCTCCTTGCAGTCCAGGGGACTCTCAAGAGCCTCCTCCAGCACCACAATTCAAAGGCATCAATTCTTCGGCGGTCTGCTTTCTTTATGGTCCATCTCTCTCTTCCATACGTTGTTACAGGAAAAACCATGGCTTTGACAATGAAGACTTTTGTTCGCAAGGTGACGTCTCTGCTTTTTAAGATGTTGTCAAGGTTTGTCATCGCTTTCCTCCCAAGAAGCAGGCGTCTTTTAATTTTGTGGCTGCTGTCTCCATCTGCAGCGATCATGGAGCCCAAGAAAGTAAAATCTGTCACTGCCTCCATTTCTTCCCCTTCTATTTGCCAGGAGGTGATGGCACCAGTGGCCATGATCTTAGTTTTTTTGATGTTGAGTTTCAGGCCGTTTTTTGCACTCTCCTCTTTCACCCTC